CAGAGGGCAAGTATTTCTGCTAGTGTATATAATCTACATATATCCACATCAAATCAGCTTCAAATGTCAGAAGTTAGAGTAAAGTTTTTCACGAACTTCTTCTGTGTAACAGATTGCCGTTAGAGTATCAAGTGGTCTATATCAGATGTATCTGAATCCTTTCTATATAACAGTAGAGTTTAGTAATAAACATCAAGATACAGTTTAACCAGAACTTTTAACAGGGTATCTTTACAATAAACAAATATCTTGATACAACTTGCTCGTGTAAATGTTTCAAAAATTAACCACACAATTCTGTACCTTTGATACTTATAAATTAATTCATATGAAATATTTTTGTTGTTTTTATAGATTCACGATGAAAGTAGTTCGGAAGAAGAAGGTGAAGTTGACGACAGTGATGATTGTGTACTGAAAAGTCAAGGGTAAATATTTGTTCGTATGCTAATCTTGTAATTAAACTTAACTGTATTTCTCTTTTCAGAAGAACCACTAATTAAAGCTACAGTTTTTAGTAAATCAATTTCTGAAAAATAAAAAGTTATTCGTTTGTGTTACTTTATTTTTTAATGAATATCTGAAAATATTTGTTTAGTAACATGATGTATTTAGTTTTGATTTATAGAGTGAATAACATTTGTTTTTGTAATGATTGTAGTAATAATCTTATACAATGGAAATTTTTGAAGTGTACTTTCTAATGATATATACATATTTATGTGTTAGTAAAATATAACAAAGAAACAGTTCAATGTTAAGTCTGATCGAAAAAAAAATCCTTTTATTCTGTAAAGTTCAATTTTGTTGATAAATCCTCATAGGGAAATGATTGAAAAAATAAAAAGTTTCTTGTCATTATAAAAGTGTCTGATAAATGTTATCATCATTTTGGTGCTTCAGAAAATAACACTTAAGACTGTGTATTAGTATGACTAAATTTCTTTTCATCTTCTGTTGTTTTTTTTAACAGGAAACAGCTGTTGTGTAACATGTGGCACATTTCTTTTTTATGTTTAGGCTTCTTATGTGCATTTTTTTTCAAGGTTGAGGCTTATTTATAAGTAATTATTAATATGTCATCACTGACATAAAGTTTTTTCTTTCCCTAACAGCAAAAATTGTCCACTCCATCACCTATTATACTCTTCTATGAATTATCCTATAAATTGCTGTACACAGTTGTTAAAACGTTTTGAAATTTCCGTCTTTAAGCAGTTATAAAGAACACATTTACTTCTATCTCAAAAATTGAAACAAATTATGGTTTCTTTCTCAGTCTTGTTAGAATACATAAACGAAGCAGCAGGCAGTCTGTATCGACCCTAAGCTCCGAAGGCAACCTGTCCGAGGAGGAAAACACCAGTGAATACTCGAGTAGCCACTGTACAACCAATGACCTCTTGTCCAGCCTTTCGAACCCAGACATTCCACACCATCTGGACCAAGAGAAGGATGGACATTCCTCGGAGACCTTGGGCATCAGCCATCGCCACAGTATATGTGGAATAGACTCTGCTTCCATTACGTTCAGAGGGAAAAATCAATTGTCAAAGCTGCAACGAGTAAGTTAGTGTTTTCTATAAAAGGCATTAAAGATATGAGTTTGATTATATATTGGAACCAGTGAAGTTTTATTTCTGGTCAGAGTATAGAATTTGTATATTTGGTTAATTGGTATTTATGGAAAATTGAACCAAAGATCCATCTATTACACAGCTATATCCTTATTGTTATATTGAGGTACTTGGTGTGGTTTATTGCTTTTCTACTCCAATGGTAGAAAAACTTGGAACTTACAAAGAAGTTAGTATTATCCGATAAATACAGCACTTATGCTGACAACTATAAAATCACAAACTTTTCCATCACTAATACAGGTAAAGTCACTATGACCATCAAGTATAATAGTTCATAGTGCTGTAGTAGTAGTCAATCAGTATCCTGTGTTGTTTTAGGAAATTCTGTCTGATATTTTCCCACCTACAGAATAAACTGTAACTGAAATGTTCAGATTAAGATTTTTATTTTGGTATAAACTTTATTCATATTTGTTTTTGATAAAGAAATAAACAAAAATCCAAACTCCTAACCCTAACGTCAGTTCTTTGCCCTTCAGTTGTAATTTTTGGTCTGTTCAAACTTCCCACCTGCACAGATAAAAATTGTCAACATTTAAATCGTTGCTATGAACAGTAGTTTTGTTGCATGTTTGTTGGTTGTTTCTAAGTCAGATAGTTTGAAAACAGTGAATTTGTTATGAAAACTAAAATTCGACTAGCTGCACATTTTTGTTTTGCGATTTTTAAACTTATAAAGCTAAACATGCTCTTTGTAAGTTGGAGTTATTTTCTTTCTCACAATTTATTTGCTCTTCAGTACTTTTATGGATTTTTTAACTTTTAGTTAGTAGATTCAGAAGCCTCACTTTGGTCACATGCTTTCAAATAATCTAATTATACCATAATTTTAGTTTGTTGTATGTTACAAAAAGAAAATAAATAAATTTTATTGTTTTTTATTGTGCTGAAGTAATGCTTTTGACTTTACAAAAATTCCCAGTGTTAATTTCAAAGTAATGGAGCCTTATTGTGGACATAGTCCTAGCATGGTCTGAGATCATTGTTAGGTAAAGTCCAAACTGGAGGAACTGTATGTAATATTTTTAAAGTAGTTCAAAAGTAAATTTTGTAAATAAAATGAATTCTATATTTATATTAGTTTTAATTATATCTTATTCAAAACTTCTTTCCACAAAGTGAACTTAGCACATGACCTCATTAACCTTGTGACTGCATTCTTACTGTTCTAAAATATATATATTTATTGGAATTAAATAGATTAAAAAAGAAATAATCTGGCTGTATAAATTGATCTAAGTGTTGCACATAAACTACTTTTTTTTTATAGAACAATTACTTATTTTGTTAAATGGATAATTTAACAACAAAACTGATGATTGTGACGAATCTTGAGTCACAGAACTTGTGTTCTTAGAAAAGGCGTGTGAGAAACCTTGCTTGTAGGGCCAATGTAGCATAATGACATAGAACATAGCTATGTGATGTAATGATTTTGTATTAGAAATAGTAAACTTATAAATTTATTTTCAAAAATGTTTGGTGGTCCTTCCGTTTTATGTTGGGAGAATTGAAGTGTCTATATTTCATATATATTTACGAATATGAATGGTAGTGCACTGTAACCTGATCGGAAAGGATTAAAATGTTAATAATTAAATGGAAAATGAAAATAAATTAGATTCAAGAATATGAATAACTAGGAAATGTCTTAAAAGTGAAAGTTGTTAACATTGTTAAGTAGTTTCTATGTGATAATGTTATATGTATGCACAACTGAGATTAGGCTTATTTTCAACATTATAGCTTGAGGTGGAACTGTCGTTTTCTTCTTTCCTTAAAAACAAATATTTTTCTGTGACATTACCAAAATAACTCCAGGAATTCTTATGTGCATGCAGATAGTGTAATTAATTAGCTTGTATGTGTAGCCTGTAGTCACAGAGACTGAAACTGAAATGTAGGAGTTAATAGACACTGGATTTGTTGCAGGTGTTTTTTTTTAGAATGTTACAAGTTGTTATGAATTCAAATTACTAATTGCATGTCTATAGTGTCAAAGTATTAAGTCAAACTTCATTGGATTAAAGTATCTAATATTTTTGCATGTTCTGTTCTATTACTTAATAAATTTTTTATGTAGTTTTATAAACCACTGCTTTGCAATGTATGTTACACAAAAGTACCCAACCTTTAAAAATTAGAAGTTTTAAGGTGATTTAGAATGTATTTGTTTTAGTTTGGTTTTCTAAAGAAATTTGTTTTTTTAGGGCTCACTTCCACCAATCGCAGACGTGTACAGCTCCCCAGCCCTGTCTCATGGTTCCTCCTCTGCATCAGAGACCGAGAGTGTATCTGACATCACAGTAGCGACTGCCTGTCCAAACTCTCGGGGAAACACAGAGACTACAGTGTGGTGATAGTCTTCTGGTAACAGTAACAAACAGAAAGGTGAAACGCCTTTCTTCTCTTGTGTTCTCTCTTCTTATTTGAAGCTTCTTGTAATATACTGTACAGTGGAGAACTGAAACTGTTGGACAGTATGATGGACATTAAGTAGTGCCTGACTTGATTGTTACTTGTGTAAGTCAGACAAAAATGTTATATTGCTCTTTACGAGTTCTGTAATTTCAAGAACTTTCTGCATTTATAAAATATCCTGTTAAAAACGAGAAAGAAACAAGCTCTAACCATTTCCCAAACAGAAACAAATGCTTAAGAAGTTGAGGCATTACTTTTAGTTCATATTCTAGATCATCTTGCGAGTCGTTTTATACATATCTTAATTTATTGATTTGGTTTTCAGTGTGTGAGTATATTAAAAAAGAATTGACTATGTTTGAAGTTATAATGATTGCTTAACCTCCTGGTTCTTAGCTAGCATTCCTTTGATAAGGATGCGACTGTTGTAACCAATGCCTGCCCTATGTGAAAAATGTTTTTTATCTGACATATTGAACAACTTTTTAAATTGATGGTAGTTTTATAGCATTCATTTTTTACCACTTTAGCAGTAAAAAAAGAAGATACGTTGTATTTTAAAGAATGTTTTAAACCAGTGAATTAGGTAAAAACCAGTCGATAGCTAAGCTTGCATCTTTACAAGAAAAGTATTTAATTTTCTAAAACTGTTTATGGAATTGTATTAGGTTTTTCTCATTCATTTAATAATAATCATATAAGTTATACTTACAGTAGCAAGTTTGTTTCTGTGGATACACTAGTCTGGTTCATAAGAAGGTTATCAACTCACTAATTACTGTTTCACCAGAAGCTCATCTCTTGTGTTGTGATGCATTATTTGATTTGTTTTTCACCACTTATAACTGAGTTTTGACAGTTTTTGTATAAATATTGGAAATTTCAAAAGTTTAATGACAATACAAGATGTTTTGGATTTGTTTGAACACATTTCTATTCACGTATTGCATAAATTTATATTTTTCACAAGAAGCACATCAGAATAATCAGTTAAACTCTTTCCAGGCTATGGGTTTGACATATTTAGCTTTTTCAACTTCTGTTAGGAATCAATTAACTAAATTACTTGAAATTTAACAAAACTTCTTGAATATAAATAGTCTTTAGTTCCAACTTTAAAATTATTGTATTTGATTTAATTTTCTATAATCTTTTATGCTGTGAAATTTTGAAAACGTTTTGAGAGACATAGTTTAAAAAAAAACATTGAAAATACTCTTTCTTCTTAGAGTTGGAAGTTTCTTTGTTGTTGGCCAGAAAGAATCAGTTTCAACTTGTTTGATATAAATTCTAAAATATTATTGAAAACTTAAAATTATTTTTTTTCACTTAAATTATGAAATTTGATATGCAGGTGTGCACTTGATACCTGAAAGGTGGTCAATGGCCCGGGAAGGGTTAATGGATTATAATACATTAAGCTATAAATAAATCCTGATTTCATGTGAAAACATTGTATATTTCAATTACAGTATTGCTAGGGTTCTTGTAGGTTTTGGTATAATGATAATTATCATGTATTTAATTCTAAAGAGATTTTTGTTTTCATCTTGTACCATAGTGTAATGACATGATATTGTTTTTGTTACAAAGTCATGCCTTTGTTTAAACTTTTTTTTTATATATACATTTTTTTAATTATTTGCCAAAAAAAAAGGTTTTAAACGTGTGTCAAACGTTTTGTTGTTTATTTACATAAATGTCATAACTTGTATTATTTGTTTTCATTCTTCCAATGAAGGTTGTACATTTTTTAGATTATGGGTTTCAAAAATACCTTTGTATATTATGAAATATGACCAACCCAGGTTATTGTTTACTTTCTGTATAATCAGGTGGCCAAGAGAGCTGAAAGGTCATGTTGACATCAGAGCAGAATGGTTTGGCAGCTAACTTGACTCTTCATAAAATTATCATCATTCTACTGTAAATACAACGTGTGTAGTATCTGTACATTGAAATTAAGTTTGATAGCTAAATCAAAACTCAAAATGACTAGAGTAAAACTACAAATGATTTCCATATTTTCTTTCAGACTTTTCAATAACATTAGGGTCTACAATGCTAACATTCAGGGATCGATACATGTGGTGGGCATAGTGCGGATAGCCTATTGTTTAAACAAGTCCTTCAGACTAGTAACATGGGAAGCAGTCACAGAGGGAAAAAGCTTACAAGAGAATATGCCATGTTTTTATTTTTACAGTATGGCCAAATCCAGCAAAGAACCATAGTCATCTCGGTCGTCCACAACAGTCTGTGAACTTCGCAAAAGAAGAGGATTGTAGGAAATATTTGAAGCCAGTGGTTATTACAAAGTCCTCATTCAACAAGCCAGTCATCCTAAGCAGGTTTCAGCAACAAACTTCACACAAGTAAAGATTATGGCTATCCTAATTCATTGACCAAATATGTTGCACCACTGGAAGATATAAAATAAAAGTAGCACAACATTACATTAGCAAAAACCACACAGTACAAAAATAGTAAACGAATTGTACATTGTCTAAGTTGTAGATGTGAGACAATTAATGAAAACAAGGATAGAAAAAATGCTTATGAACAAAATCTGAGAATTTTGAAAAAAAATCAACTATCACCGATATGTCTGGGAATGGTGTGGAACAAATATCAAGAACCACATTTTGAAACACCATGAAGAAACTGTAATGATAGGAAAGATTGGGAGAATAGAGACTTTTATCCTTTGTGAATAATTTGCTATAAGCAGATTTGATGTATACATAATTTTATGATATTTTTTTTTTTATATTTATTGAACTATAAGTTTTTAACTGTGTGCCACATATGAAGTGGAATGTGGTTCAAAGTATTGTTTTGTATACTGTTGTTGGTGAACAATGTAAATATATCACACTCTTCTTTAGAATCTTCACCATGGAAACCAGTTAAGTTTCACATCTTTATTTGTTGGAGTTAGAAGAAGGTTATAGCATGCTGCCGAAAACTTGTGTGAAAATTTAAAGAATGTCAATATGTGGCTTTCTCTTGTAATCTTTTTCTTCAAAAAGGATTTTTATTCCGTAATGTTATCATTTCTGTGGTGAAATCAAACACCCCATTTTTATACTTCTCTCAATTCCATTTTTTTAAAATTGAAAATCCAGAATTTTCCGTAATTACTTAATGTTTATTGATTGCCATTCTACCAAATAAAAGTATACCCTGATATTTTACTGTTATTCCTTCAAATTAGCCCTATTATTCTTTGATGTGCAGTTGGAAGTCTTGTAATTGTAGAACTTATAGTTCTAAATATTGGTTTCGTTTCACATACCTCTTTGTTTACTTGTACACAGTATCACTGAAGGTGTTTCTTTCTCAAGAATTAGAAAATATGGTTTAAAAATAATTAAATTCAATCAGTTCAGTTTTCAGGATTCTTATATAAAAGCAAAGTTTGTCTGTTGAAAGTATGTATAGCAGAGTGGCTTTAAGAGAAATGGTGTATACTTGTAAGGTTACTTGGTGTTTCAGCTAACACTCACCACCAGGTGAAGCACTCCAAAATCTGGCTTGTCCTTTTTTTGATGTGGAAACAGTAGTGAAAGTGTAGCCTTTAAATAAAACAGATGTACTTAGCAACATGCATCCTGTCTCTGGCTTAAGGAGCTTAAACCTTGTGCTTAAATAGAAATAAAACTGTATAATTTTATGCTTTTTTAAAATTATTTTCAATGCTAGAACTTTACTAAATTGGCAAGGTATGTGCATGTCATAAATGGCTTTTAAAGATTAAAAAACTTCTTAATTCTTAAAAACTAGTCATTTATGAGAGCTAGGATTGGCATATCAAGGTGTTTTAAATATACATTTTATAAAAGAAAAAAGGTATTAAAGTTTAAAATCCATAAATAATTAGTATTTAAGTTATAAGTGTTCTTGTTATCTTGTCCTAGTGGCTCTTACTAGGAAATGATGTATTTTTTTGTAATTATGTCATTGAATTGAGAGATGTACTATTTTATTTCTGTTTATTTCAGCCTGTATTTTTTTCCTTATGTTTTTACTGTAATCCTGCTTCAATGGATAAAATTATTTTTAATATTAGCTTCAGAATTACTCTAGAATTAATTCCAATCTATTGTTTATGATTTAACATTGTTTCATCTAAATTTTCAGAAGTTTCGTTACAGTGAAACACTTGTTTGTGGAAAAATTATTCTGACGTTGTCTGGCCAAATGCCCCTTCTCTCTGAGAATTGTTTGTTAGCTGGTGATTAGAAACATTAACTTATTTCTGACTGTATAGTTGTTCTTTATGTATAAAGTAGAGGAACATCTATATAGATAATAGAATTTACTTTGTTACAGAAAATATGTGGTTTAAATCACGAAGCTATCCCTGTAACAGACATTGTCTGCCAACAGTATTGATTATAACCTGGCGGTACCAGGAGTCATCCTTTTTTGAAGAAAGTAAAACGAGTATTTTTAACATTCCAGATTGTAATAGATTTGACAAGGCTGGCAATGTTTCAATAGATGTGTGTAAATATGTATATATTTAGTGGAAATTAATTTCTTCAGTATTTTTTAAATTTTATTTGAGATTTTTCGTGAAAAAGTCAATACGTAAGGGTTTCTAGGAATTTCAAGAACTTAGTTCTAGATTACAGTTGCTTTCTGGGATGGAAAGAAAACAACTGTGAAACTTTATCAGTGACTTTTTTTATTATCTTAACCTGGTCTATTTCACTGAAAAAGTAGAGCATATTTTTATCATTGTTGGGTAAATTCCCCTGATATTCTATTTCGGTTCAATATTTCTGAGACACCTACCATAAGAGACTGGTGGAGAGAAAATGAATTAATGTGAGAGCATTGTTAATAAATTGGCAGATTCTACATGTTATAGATGTATCAGACAAGTACAAGAATATAAAGTAACAGCTAATAAGGATATTGTAGCTAACCATTGTTGATATTGGTGCTTAAAGTGGCGGAAATGATTGTTACCGTTGAGCAGCAATCTAACAGTTGGTAAAGGTTGACAACCTAATGCACAAGTCGTGGTTAGAAATCACGTGTATAGTTTTAAAAACGTGCTGAAACGAAAATCATCAGCTGAAGTTTCATAGTTTTGCGTCTTTGATTCCATTTTGAATGTCCACCAAACTAAGAATCAGAATAAAAAAAACAACTAAGTTGTGAATTTATTTCAGCTTTCGGAAGTCATTAATGTTAGCACTGAAAAACCTGATGAAACAGGAAAAGACCGTATAAAACAGCAACAGACTATAACTGTAAAGATCAAAATAAAAACTAATTAAGTTGTGAAATTATTTGGAAGTCATTATTTGAAATCTCAACAAAAGTGCAAAATTGTCTTTGGTTTTATTTGTTTGTGCTGCAGGCTCATTTATCGAATAAATAAGTATTCATATCTTTTATACTTGATTTGGCACACAAATAATTTTAAAAAAAACCTTATGGACTTCCTCAAATAGAACCGTAACTATGCATTTGAAAAGTTTTGTAATGATGGAATTGAAGAACCTGTTGTGGTTGTTTTGAAGGTTAATGAACATTGACGGCGAGTTTTAAGTGGTTACTCCTACTGGCTGGTTTGTGTTGTTTCAGGTTGGATAAAAGAATATGCAACACCTGTTGGATGGACTGTGATGAAATTAAAAGGGAAACATATTAATTCGTGTGTGAACGTTCACTGGATATTAGTTTTTTGATTCAAGCTGTATGTTAATTCATGTGTGAACGTTCACTGGATATTAGTTTTTTGATTCAAGCTGTATGTTAATTCATGTGTGAACGTTCACTGGATATTGTTTTTTTTTTTAAACTATTTGCAACCTAAAATAATGTATACTGAACACCATTCTTGAAAACTTCCATTGTTTTCTTTAAATAATTCCTGCTAATTTTAATTACTGATTCTGTGAAGTTGCAGGAAATGGAACGGTTTTTACCATACGGTATTATACACTAATCGTTTACGTGTTCGGCCATTTTCATGATCCTTTACAACGTGATGGTCGTTCTATACCCTGCGATGCTGGCCTACAGAAAGGACGGAACAGATCATTTTTTAGGTCTGATGTTATCAGTTAAATTGATACACCATACATTTCAAACCATTTTTTGACGAGTTTTGATAAACTTGTACCACCATTTAAGTTCTAAACTGTGCCAGGTTTGAGGAACCCATTCCAGTGGAAATTTGATGTTTCATCAATTTGTACACGTTTTCTAATATTTTTTACATCAAAGCATGACCATGATGATCTCTAATCGTAGTGAAGGGGGGATTTTTCATATCAAAACAGTTACTTCAAAGTTGATTCACATTCCGACAAGTTCAACGTGGGGTAGATAGTTGATACTTCTATTAGTGTTTCATAAAGAAGAATTAATAGAGTTAAACTTTTTACTTTGTCATTTCCCTGCTTATATTTGTTGTGAGATTGAAAACTAAGACCAGTTCTAATTGTAAATATTTTGACATTCGTACCTTTGTCACATTACTGTGGCGAGATTACATACACATATGATTATGGCATGGTTGTATTTTTATATAGAGCCTCAACCTATGTGGTAAAGTTGTTTGGTTACTTATACT